AGGAAATTCTAAATTCCCGATTATACGCGGCATAGAAACTCGCGTGTCCAAATCTAACGTACAGATCTCTGAACATTATGTGGGAATCTTGACACCAATAAGTGAAATCTTTTCTTAGTCCTAACTAATCCGAGATGTCCTCAACGGAAGGTTTGTTGGGGATAAACACGTCCTCTTGTTTTCGGGCTCTTCTTTCTAGGCCCGTTCCCACGGTGTCTATGCAATCCCTTATCTCTTCTAATGTAGGGGTGATTTCGGCCGTTCCAAAACGGAAGACCATTCTCTGGCTGTCCCAATACCCCGTGAGTACCTCTATCAACTCTGGCCAACCATTCATGTTGATTAGCTCGGTCAAGGCCCCTACATACTTGTTGAAAGTCCGCCTATGATCTCCGTCTAAGTCGTTGTGCCACATTGTTAGTTGGGGTGGCGCTGAGATGACCATGTTGAATTTGGGGAAGCGGTCCATACCTGCAAAACAAAAACCCGTTAGACTTTCCCCTACCCCAAGTTGGTTTTCACACATACACTTTCGAATGTCAAATAACATGATGCGTCGTGAGGTCGAAGACCTTAGACGCGATTTTGGTGATTTTCTACTAAAATGGACTTAATACGCCTTGGGTATTAAGTCATCCTAGGCTAATGCCTAATTTTGGTTTTGGTTTCGCTCTAACTTAGGCTTTTCTAGAATTGTTTTCAAATAGACGGTTACCCGAGTCGGACAAACATCGGGATGGAGCTATCGAATAACGTCGGATGACCGCATTCCAACTATTTATTCGATACTCCCAAATGATTTCTTGAGGTATTTCTGAGAGAAGTCGCGGTAAGCCGCGTAACTTCAGTTTCCTAATGCAGTCTATTTGCCGTTTGGCGGAAGTTATGCCATGAAATGCAATTATTCGAAAACTAAAGTATTTAAGCAAGTGAACAATTATCACAATTAGTCAAACAAGTTAGTCTTAAGGTTAGAATCCTCCAAATAGTCCCCAGCGGAGTCGCCATTTCTGTTTTATCGAAAAAAAGTGGTTTTCGAAAAAGTTTATTTTAAAGGGTATTTTCGACCTTTAGGAGTCGCCACTTAATTTTTAAGAAAAATCAAGAAAACTTATTCTCAAAACAATTTAAACAGAAAAAAATCGTTTTGAAAATATTTTAGGGGGTTCGGGATTCCTATTAGTATCTTAGGAAGGTGTTTAAGGCACCTAAGATACTCCGTTAATACGGTTTTCCGACGACTAACTTATTTGACTATTTTGTTTTTTCGTTATTCTTAAGATTTTCCATCTAGGCAAACTTTATAAGTTTTGAAATGACTTCGCAAATTCCATTTTTTAAGGTTAAGGCACTTTATATTCGAACAAACTTGTAGAAAAATTTTTT